CACTAAGGCAGGGCATTTGGAAGAAAGCCATCCTTGTCTCATTGAACATAAGCATTTAAGCCCTAGTGCTTTAATTCAAAACAATTTGAACCATTGAAATCAATACAATTAAAATGGCTAAAATCCAAGTGTCAGCCATAAGTATTTCATGGATCACAGTCATAGCACATTACTGTAATTAGGTGTTACTCTGATTTTCTATATTTAGCCTACACTGTATTTTGCAGTCTTCCTTGTAGAGAAACTTAAAAAAAATGAACAAACCATTAAACAGTTTTCCGTAAGAGGCTTGTACATTAGTTTACAATTAATAATCAATTTTAACCCCCATTTTCAGAATCAATATGCTAAGACAGGAAGGAAATCATTGAGGAAAAGTGGTATGAACTTTAATCTTGATTTTCTGAATTAAATAAATAGTATAGGAAAATCTAGCAAGATATTAATTAATGTTGTACATAAAAATCAAACCGCTGTAGAACAATACTTCCATTTAGGAGATTATTACATAACATTTAAATATTACAGTTTAAAATTATAGAATTTTATTTAGAAATATTTTATATACAAGCCATAGTTAACATTGCAATTCATTGACCAATTACATATCATCTACTTTTCAACATATTGTCCAGCTAAGAATGTTAATGCAAATGTAGTTGATTGTTTTTACAATCTGAAGTAATTAAGACTGGCTATTTAAAATTAGTGCTTTTATTTTGCTGTGTTTATGAGTTAGTGTATTTTGCAATTTTGGTTGGCTCTGATGTTTCACAGCAAAAATCAAATGTAAAAACTGTTGGATGAATTGTTGATATTTATAGAAAGCTTTATTAATAGGTGTGTACAATTTAGCAAAAACCTTTGCCATTTTAGTGCCTGGTTTTTGGCTCCCCCCTCCCATTCTGTTTTTATAGAACTTATTGAATTCAAGAAAGGTTTCTGTTTTCATGTCAGAAAGATTCATCCATTGGTGCCAATGGGGAAACTTTTGAGGCTCATTTCTCTTGTCATTTTTAGGTCTATCAGCATGAAACCCACTTCACTTTTAGGCCACATTTTCTACTGCAAACCTGCCAAATTTTATAATGTTTCACAAATCCACTATTTATTTATTTTTTTTGGAAATTTGGAAAGTTTTTACCATAACTTTTTTTTAAAAAAAAACCCACAAGAGGTGGTTCTGGGAATTAAATTCCTAAGTGTATGCCACAAGAGAGGAGGAGAATGGATGGACACAATTAACCAGGGCTCTAATTAGCTGAGAAAGAAAGTGAGAAACACCCTGAGAGAGAAAAAAAACCTCAATTCTCATCATGCCCCAAGAGGGAGTACAAGGCTTGTGCCACACAAAGTGCTGCTGGGAAAGAGAATTCCCAGGTGGTGATGGGGGCTTCAGGAAGGGATGAAGGAAGAATGCAAAGGCAAAGTCACAGATTTTCGTGATTAGAGAAGATTTAAATAAACAAGCTGTTAAAAAGGTTCCCATCCAGATCAAATATCCACATCACCCCTACAGTTTACTCCAATCGACTCTAAATATTCAGTTCTTAGCTGTGTTGCTTTAAATAAGAAAAGGGCGTTCTGTATGTTATTTTAGCATTCTGGCCGGCCAATAAAAATGTAGTTTAAATATACGGAACCCAATGTGTTTTTTAAATAATGTATGGCTCAATGTATTGGTTTCTCTCTTTCTTGTACAAGTTACAACTGAACAGTAAATGTGCAATATCTTCTATTTCTGACACTCCACAGATACAGAATCGTTATCCTCTCTGGACTTGAAAGTTAAGCAGGGCCAGCCCCTGTTAGTACTTTGGTTGGAGACTGTCAGGTGCTGTAAGGTATATTTTGGAGAAAGGAATTGGCAAAAACACTTCTGAGTACTCCTTACCCTATTAAATTCATGGAGGTGCCATAAGACAAAAGACAAGTTGATTGCACACATGCACCACCTCCAGAAAGTCAACCATATGCAGAACATAACGACCAAATCAACTCTTGATCTGGTCCAGTTATTTGATCTAACACAATGGTGTCAATCTCATTTCATCAAGGGCCACATCAACCTTATGATCGCCTTCAAAGGGCCATTGATTCAGTTGATAGAGAATCCATGGTTGCAGAGAGCTAAAAATATTTTTTGTACATAGTCGTTGGTATTACTTTGTTTTTACCCAGTTTGGGTCCAAAGATGTTACTGAATGACAACTCCTATAACTTTTGATTGTCCTCAGATGCAGACTTGAAGACTTTGAGACTCCTATAGAGAACATACTAATCCAAACAATGATTAAGATAATCCAAAAAATATACCTGCAAATGTGGAGGGTTCTATTTTTAACTATTTTAAAAGTTAAAATAGAATGAAATCCCAATTGTTTCTCTCTGAGGTTAGAGTTATTATTGTTGGTATCCTAGACACCAGAAGTTTTGCTCCATCTGTATAACATTTTCAGATAGATAGATAGATAGATAGATAGGGTACCCCCAATATATTTATTAAGTTAGCATTGCTCAATTTGATGTCCATTTATATGACATTTGAGAAGGTTCATTGCATTACACAAAAATGCATTTATTTTATTTGAGAAAAATTACATCTAGGTTAACCTGATGAAAAAAACTGGTCTAGTTTGTTCATAACTTAAGTTGTACCTCAATAGTAGATAACAGGGCCTTGTCATCAGCATAGAGCAGTATATGAATTTCTTCATTTCCAACAGAATGACAGAAGTAGGCTAGTGAACTTACATTGGAAGGTAAATTATCCACATAAAAATAAGTAGAAAAGAGGCCAATATGCCATTCTGCATAACACCTCTTTTGTTACTGATTTACTAGACAGACCTGTCTTCACTCTCAAATCTTTTGTGAATGAAGTTTCTGCATCAAAACTACCTGACCTATATTAGTGCATACCAATTTTCCCCAAAACTGTCTCTGTTAAATTAAATTCTGAAGTAAAATCCACAAGGACTAACCTTCAATCAACCATTTCAGACTTTTGTGAATCAAATGAGTGAGCACAAGACATTTATCAGTTGTCTTTCTGTCATACCAAAATTCAGCCGGTTTTTCTGCAATAATGTCATATTCCTCTGGCCAGGTCTGAAGCACGTTCAACAGAAACCTATTGCAGACTTTTGGCACTGTGTCAGAAACCTAACTGATCGGTTTTAGTATCACATCTATCAACTTTTTATGGCAGCGAATGATAATATTAGGCTACCACCAAGTAGGGCTAATTTCTATCAAATCAGCCGGAATAGGGGCCAACCAGAAGGAAGCAAATTAAAACCTTCCTAGAGAAAATATGACCTCCTCTGAGGCTTTACTAATATATATGTTGAGATGATAATGTGGACTAATAAAGAAGTTTAATGTTGGAAAAATGCACATGGCTGATTTTTGTGCAAAACAAATCCTAAACTCTAAAGATTCCAGGATTCAACTCATCAGGGTTTCTTGACATTAAAAAAAAACAAAACATGTTTTTCAACAATTTCTTGAACATTGTTGAATATTCTTTCACCTTCTAATTTTCAGCTTAAAGGACTTAGAATAGACAGTTACAGTACACAAATTTACACTATATATAAATCAGCTGACATTTCTTTTTTTAAAAAAAAAATACTACTCTCATTTCAAAATTAATAAACCTATTGGGGTTTTTTAACTTAAGACATCCTTCAACAGAAACTATGGGGGGAGGATTAAAATGCCATGGAAAAATATGGTGAAACAAACTGAAAGAATGAGTAGATTTGACAGTACCATCAAGAGGCAAGGCAGAACACAAAAATAGAATGGATGTAATGTTTTATATTTAGCATGGTAGGTCCACAATGAAATCCCCTTTGTGCTGTCTCCTTTGATAGTCAGTAGGGAAGTCAAATTCTGTTGCAATAGCAGCAAAGTTTTTGCATTTTCCCCTTTTAATAGGCTCAAAGTATGAGTCATTTTTCAAAAGAAATCTGAAATTATCTCTCTCTTTTTTACAGTGGAACCCATTTTCAGTTGTTTTCCTTCACAAAGCCTAAATCAAAACATGCCATTTAATGCCATCTATTTATAACAAGAGTCCTATTTTTTTTAATTGCAATGTGAATGTAAGTTTTCATCAGCAGGCTTACACTGCTGACTGCACCACTGGTGTCTCATTGGAACAGAGCGGCTCATTTGGGACATAAAAAATGATTTCAAAGTGAAATATTTTCATCCTGCCTCTACATCAGCATTTTTGCAAGCTGCAGGCAACACACTGCATCTGCAGTGAATCATACAGAATGGCAGTTTTAATGAGGGAAAGGACAGCAGAAATATAAAACATAATACAACCGCTCCCTTCTTATATCACCATTCCCATTTCCCCTTCCCCACCACATTAACTTTTATGCAAAAGTGGTCACACTGGATATGATTAAAATTAAGATGCAGAGTATTATTTCAACAGTTCCACTCAGGCAGGCTGTGAATATGCAACTCTTGATGCTCAAAGGAAATAGCAAAAACGTCCCTGGGAAACATCATACCACTCAACACACAAGTACTGCAATGCAGGTCAACTGTTTCCCACACTATAATAAACCCAATTCAAAGTCTTTTGATTCTGGTACAGAAAAACTAGAGAAATGTTTCAATAGACCATCTGGATATCATGACTTGTCTATTGGTATGGAACTGACATATAACCAACCTGCCCATATGGATCCATCAAAAAATAGCTTGACATTTCTAAACCTCATCATCCAACTGACACAAAATAAAGGCTTTACCACCAGAAAACAATGTGAGTCAATGGCCTGTTCGCAGCATACCGCCTTCAGATGATAACATTTGCAAAAAATTCAAGCATTATCCCTGTGTCAACACACTCACTTGGCTGCTGCACATATAAATTTCTGATAAGACACTTTTGCAATGTGAACAAATAAAGCACATGATAACTTTTTTGTGTCTTGGTTAGATATTCAGTTAAATGATCTTTCCATTCTTACCATCAACACAGGCGGGCCTTGCTCTCGTTGTACCGGCAATCTGTCCTTTTTTACATGCACAACGAGCTGTTTGTCGAGCTATAGTTCTTCGAGGTTGACTGCTATCTCTGTCCAATGTAACAATTTCACATGTACCTGCAGCCAATTGACCTGGGGAAAGAACCAGCAAGAGGTACCATCATCACTGAATGCACAGCAAGCAATCTGTTACAGCCATAAAGAGTCATGACCCAATGTCATAGCAGAAGTGCCACAAGAAATGGAAAGTCAGCTGGTGGATATAAGAAAAAAACAGAGGTGACATGCATTTTTCTCCCTTGTGTCAGGCATGTGAAAATGTTGAGAACTCGTCCTGTCAGGAAACTGCAATTTTCTATAAACGGCTTCACGAAACAAGTTACTTTGTTGAAAGAACAACCTATATTTTTCATGATCAAATTACGCAAAGAGATATGGAAGTAGAAAACCAGGAAGGAAAAAAAGGTGGATTTAAAAATGTCTTCTCCCTTCTCAAAGGACCTAAGAATTACAGTTATTGACAATGGAATATAGTTGAGAAATAATAAATTGCAGAGGATTCAGTTCTCTAATCATTGTGCTACGTCAGTTCATATTACATAGCAAAGTATGCTGATACTGGCTTCAACAGTTTCTATTAAAATGGTTTATGATAGTATCATATCCATCCTCAAATACATTTTTCATGTTTTCTTCTTTATTTCTTTTAAAATATTCGATAAATGAAGTAATGTAATCATATCCCTGAAACATCTTTTAGGGAAAGTTTATAGGGGGAAAAAATCAATAATTGTGGGGGGAAATAATGAAAGGCAGGCAGCTGCAGACAAAGTAACTCTCAAGGCCTGGTGCATCTGAAATGTGTCCGGCTTTGAAATTGTGTCAGCTTGCCCACTCCTCCCAAAATGTGATTATGAAGCATGTGCATCACTGTGAACTGCCATAAGACCCCTTTGGGGTTGAGAAGGGTGGTAGAGTAATACCACAAATAATAAATAAATAAGCAAATAAATGTAATTGAGACTCTGGTTCGCATAAATAGTCCTGCATGAAAAGAGGAAAAGATGGATAAACCTCATGTTATTTGAATGCCTATAAATGAAGCACATATTTCTTATATGCTTCATTTAAATCCCTTCACAATAAGGGAAGAATAATTGCTCCAAATTATACAGAAAGGGAATAATAATACTGGTAATTTTTTTTTAAAAAAAAAACAGCAACAGTCTACAGCTCAGGAGGAAAGTGGTAGTCATAAGTTTCAGGTAACATTAAAGTTCACTATTTCTGAGATTGCAGTGGATTACCATATTTGGGCTTTTGTAAAATGAGAACTAGCTTTCCACGAGAAATAACCAAGTAAACAGCATACAGGGAGTATGACTGGTTACACAGCATCTTCACAAAACTTCAGAGAGGATGGACTGCCCTCTATGCTCCACTGTATTTTTAAATACTTGCATTATAAATGGATTACCCAAGGAGAAAGGGCCAAATATTCTTCCAGTGGAACATCTACCCAGGTATACACTTCCATCTGTTAAAGAGGGACAACAGCATACTGGTCTCTGCAGGTAAGATTTAGTAGTTAATTATACTTAGCTTAATCTGGGTCATATACCAGGGAAGAAGACAGTATATAAAATATATAATAAATAATCAAATAAATAAAAAATAGTTTTTCCTCTTAATTTTAGAATAGAGCAAGCTATTCTAAGATATTGCTTGCACATACTATAACTGGCATTTTAGCTAAGCCATGATAAAACATACTGTTCAAACACAAAGTTTTAAAACCATGGAGTGTTTTTTGAAGAAAAGGTTTCTTGTAGAACCTCCATCAAGCTTTTAGATACAGGGGCCACATTGCATTTTAAAATTTGACAGATGGGCTGGCCAGTGGCAGATAGATTCCCGCTCCTCCCTTCCCCACCTGTCCCTTGCTCCCAGCTCTTCCCCTTTAAGCTAAAGCTGCTGTTTGGGATCCCACAGCCTACGCTCCTGGCCCTCAGCTGCCTCCCGCAGTATAAGGCTCCCAGGCCGCCTCCAACTTGCAGACTGCTACAGAAGACACCAAAGGCCTGAAGGGGAGCAGTGAGGTCCTCCATCCCCCTTCTCATTGCCATCCTTGGGGGCCCCAGCCCCACACCCTCTTTTCTACTCTGTATTGTGCCCCAAGGATCTGACAGCTGTATTCCTATTTCCTCTGAAGGGTCGTGCCTGAGGTTTGGGGACCCCACCAGCCTTTCTTTGACAGACTGACTCCCGATTAGCAGCCTTGGGAAAATGATGTTGAGGGGTCTGCAGGGACGGCAAATCCACTACATGGGCAGGCAAGTGTGCCCATGTCAGCTCTTCCCCCCCCAGCCCCTTTCTGCAGCTATACATAGTTGGTTATTGGGCTGGAAACTTATTTTTGAAATTAGATTGTCTCTTAACACATTTCTATTAATAACTAAGTGTGTGTGTATGTGCAGCGAGGCTTCTCAGACTGTGAGCTTCAGGGAGACTCCACGCCAGTGGCAGTGCGGCTCCTCGGGCCACAAGCTTCATAGAGGGGAGTGGGGGAGGCCCCTGACTGTGCTTTGCAGAGCCCTAATGGGGTAGATCTAAATGATTGGCTTGGCAGGAAAAAAAGAATCATAACATGAAAAATTCTTAAACTGAAGTTCAATATTTTATGGTGGCCCCTAATATATGAAAATGCTGTTAGAGACTGTAGTGAAAATAAGTTATTGTAGTGAGATAGATAGGAGTTCGATGAAATACCAATTATTTATTTATAAACAGTTTTTTTTCTCCTTGAATAGTTAGAAGAGCTAGATGTAATTCAAGGAAATGGGCAATGAGTGAAATCAAACCAAAATTGAATTTAACCACTGGAAGCATCTGGGCAAGTGGCCTTTTGCTGGAAGAAAGTCTGAGGATTTTTTAAAAATAATAATAATAATAACAAAACAGAAAAGATCCATCAATTATGAATGGAATGATGGGTTTGAATACTACAGTGGGAAACAGTGGGGCAAATTACCTTTCCAAACAAGCTGGTCAATATCAGCCCTGAAATGTAGTCCATGAAAGACACTGATGCACATGACATAAATTAAAATGTCATATGCTGTCTTTTCTGAATTATTTTAGTAAAAATACCATAGCCACACCTTCTCGATTATCTAGTTTTATTCCTCTTGTATTTTTCTCCTTCCTAATTAAGTAATAGAACATTATATCTGTTTTCTTCAGTATCTAAATTCAACTCAAAACTGAAAAAAATAAGCAAGATGGGAAAACAAGCTAAAGCTGACACAAAAACTACAATTTGTTGTATTTAGAAGTGTCAGAGAGGATTAACATTGTTCAGAACTATTGGTACTTGTTCCCAAAATAGGTAAATAGCTCAGATCAATTTATTCAAAAGCTGGAAGTTAAAAAGATCTGAAGAGTTCACATAGAAACTATCTTTGGTGCATCTACTACCACTAAATAAAGGAATCATCTAAAAGAGAAATTTCATTTGATATGGTTATAGAATGAGCAGGAAGATGATAAATTTTACTTCCTATCTCTCCATTGGAAAGAGGCAAAGCAAGAACAATAAGTGGAACTACAAATTATTCTGGAGGATGTATGTTCCTAAACCTGCATGTGTGATGGTGATTTAAATTTAAAGTGTATGAGGATAGCAATGGATATTTATGTTACGATGTAATTTTCTGCTGATTCTTCCCCAGAAACCTCCTCTAGAAAGCCAGCCTTCCTTTTTTAAAAAATATTAAAGCCTGTCTATAAAATGTGATGGGAAAACATTTTTGAAAACCAGGTAGTGGGGGTTAGGAACCAAAGAAATCAATAAATGCATTGTTCTTGTTCAGTTCTTCCTGTAAATGCTACTTATTCTCAATATTACAAGTCAAACTTTATCAATCCTGGGGCATAAAATCACTCTCTGTTTCCCATTCTTTAAAAATTGAAGGTTTCTAGGGATAACCTTCTGGCTTGGAGCTATCCAGGAGCATTGCTCACCCTGACATTTTGAAGTCTAAAGTCCCTGGCAAGCACATATGAACTGAGGATTCCCCCCCCCCCCCTGAAAATCCCAATCAGAGATCTTTGATTCACTTAGTAGTAGGATAAAAGCCAGAAAATGTGTGCATAGAATATCAGCAGGCACGGATCAAAGTTCAGACTCAGCTTAAGGAACATGACAGACTTCATTGAAAGGTATGCAATTATTCTAAACAACATATATTTTTGACAATTAATATTGCTTCCCCCAATATGGATATCATTTTTTATCAGTAGCATGTTTATCTAAATGATACATAAATTGTAATTGTGTCATAAAAGGTGATTCCATATGTCACACAAGTACTTAAGCCACACATGTGAAACTCAAGGCCCATGGTCTAAATCTGGCTCGCCACATCATTTTATGTAGCCTACGAGGCTTTCAATGCCAACTTATCATAGTTACATTTATAGAGTCTTACAATTACAAATGGCTATTTGCAGGCATCCTTAAGGCTGATGTGATCCTCAGTGAAAATGTGCGACACCCCTGAACCATTAGATCTGAGATATTATAATCAAATAATAATTATAAACCAGTGCAATCTGGAAATCTTTCATAATGAAAAATATCACAGGAGAATGAAACATTGTTTCTTCTAGGCTCCTATACTAACCGAAGACTCAATTTATGTTCTAAGATATCTCTGTACAAACGCTATATATGTTCTGTATTCATCTAGAAATGTGGTTCACTAACTTCCACGTACAACCTTATTTTATACTCTCACACAATAATTCTTCCAATGTGCCATCATCTGAATGCCTAGCAACAGAGGCTCTTTTTATAACTCAACATGATAAAGGTTCATTTCATTAATTTCCTTCCTCCAACAACTTTTACCTGCAGATACCCCATCTGCTATAAAGAACTAAATCCCAGTAGCTACAGTATTCAGGATTTTTAAACACCGAATCCCCAATTAAAATCTGACAAGGCTATTAATGTTATAAATATGCAAATACCCAGTGTACTCTAAGTGGTAAACATTGCCAAATAATACTTTTAATTGCCCACAAATTCCTTCATTCAGGTTTTCAACATGTAAAAATAATCCAAATCT